GTGTGCATGTTCATACTGTCTGCTAAGCTCAAAACAACCGCGCCTGGCTTGACGGAGAAACCAGGAGAACAGCTGTGCATATTTACGACAGTGCACTTTTACTTTCGCCCTCTGGGGGGAGCCTCGCTGGAAAATCAACACCGGTTGCATAGTATACCTTTAATAACCTCTTCTAAGAAGGTCAGTGATGTAGTGTAACCAATGTCCACTAGAGGGCGGGGTTATTGGTTCTTGAGCAATAGAAGTAATACCAGAGTGGAGGGATGCTGGAGTCGAAACAATCAATTCAAAGCTCAGTCTAAATTATTTCCCAAGTTTAATGGATCCAATGATCCAGAATGAACCTCCTGTGGTTCCGTTAGACTTAGACAAACTTTATGGTCATTTTGTATGTTTACATTTGATCACCATATTTACATTTTATCACTGCTGCAATTTGAGAAATGGAAATGTCTTGAGAGCTGTACTGAATGAAATTTAGTTTTGTATACACTCTGTGTGTAAAAAATGACTAATTTTATCTGAGTCTAAGTATACACAGAGTGTATACAAAACTAAATTTTGATGCATACAGCTTACAGCAGTGAATGAGCAGCTTTTAACATTGAAATTAACATTTCCATTTATAAAGTGCATTTATAAAGATCAGAATGTAAACAGTGTAGGAGAAAAGGAAACCCGTTTAAAGTCATGGTACAAAAGGCATTGATATAGAAAGGTTCAGTGCAGTGCGAATAAATAAATATGGTGCAAAACGCAGAGGAACATTGAGTTGTGTTCTATTTAAAAGGATAATGAAAAAAAATCAACCACGTCAGTAATGCAAATATGATGTTTTCAAGTGTGGTGCAGAGTCTTGATTAGAGTTTTAACAGTTCAACAGTCTGATAGTAGCTGGGAAAATGTGAATCTAAACTCTGGATAAACCCCTTCAGTTCTCCTAAATGGGTCCATTTAGCAGCACTGATGGAGGAGCTGCAGAACTTCTCTGCTCGATCAAAAGGAGAGGATGATATAGAAAAATGGAGGACATTATGCTAAACGATTGGAAGAGGATAGAAGAAAACATGCTAGCAGTGAGCATGGTAGATTATGAGGTAATAACCTTCATGTAGCCATGTTCTAACAGTCCTCTGAGAGGAACAAGAACCACCTAAATAAAAGCTCTGCTAACAGAACAAAGTCTCTGACAGAAATGATTGATGGATTCAACTATAAACAGAGAGCTAGATCACAGTTAGCATCCACTTCACTGAAATGAAGCGATAAATGGTCCGACAGTACGTAGGAACAACATACCCTGTCTATTAATTATTGATCTACATCTCTGTTTATTGGAAATCAAATGACTTTCTCATATTTTATTCATTATTTTTATTCATTAACTTAACTGGTTTCTGTTTGGTTAAATCGTCTAAACATAAATGTTTTTGTTTATTCAGTGGGTATTAAATAGAGTCGGAACAATAATAATAATTAATAATTAATATATAGGGTTTCTAAGAAAATGGCTGCTTATCCATAAACCGTTGATCGATCGATAAGATAAATCAACTTTAGATTAAATCATTAACTTGCAATTTATTTTGGCAAAATACAAACTGATCAAGAGAAAATCGTCTATTTAGACCAACAGGAAAGAGAACAGGAGCAGTAATCAGAAACAACTAGAGGTAACAATGGAGGAAAACCATAATTCAGGAAGGAGAATCTGTCAAATACAAAACTATTAGCAGGAATCTGGTGTTAATTGAGGAGTGGAAAGAAGGAGTCTTAGTGGCACTTTGCTCTGAGCCATGTAGCCCACATGGAGAAAAGATTCCCTGGTTAGAAGACGCTATAAATCTATCTTTCAGCCAGCATGTAAGGAGCTTTACAGCATGCTGATGGCAGCACTACAAGATGGAAGCTTAATGCAAATGTTTACAGAGATTACAGAGAGAACTTTAATGCAACATTTTTCTTTGCTTTGTTTTGTGTTGGTTTATCACATAAAGTCCATGACAAAATAAAAAAAACGAAAAGGATATGCAGGTTTTTAGCAAAATGTTGAGAAGTTCCTGGGTTGTAAAGATCTATAAATTCACTGCTCTCTCAAAGAAAAAACAAACAAGTCATACCGTTTGGAAGTCAGGCATTCTGTGTTGACATCTGACAGCAGTCCCAGCTTGTTGCACTCCTGCAGCAGCATGCCGAGGCAGTCGCAGCTGAGGGTAAAAGATGAAAGGTAGGATATGATTAGAACACCTGAGTTTCCAGGTAGAGAAACAGAGTATTTGGAACAAAAGGCCGATTTGGTTCCCTTACTTGCATCTCTGATCAGCTTTATCCAGCAGTGGTGTCAGTTTCAGAAGGTACTGGAACGCAATATTTACATCCTCTGTAAAATCCTGGAAAATAAAAAAACAAAACATTTGTCCTCATTACATTATTACTAAAACTAAAATACTGAATGTTGCTTAGGCTGCTAATATCTACCTGTCCTTTGTCTACTTGAGGATACTTCTTCAGTCTGAGCAGAACTTGTGGAATCTACAAAAGACAAGGACCCAGGTTTTTTATTAATATATAAAGACATCATGGAGGACTAGAGACCGCATAAGTCAGCATGTTTGAATTATTGATGTGAACGCTAATGCAAAGAAATGGAGAAAAGACAAGCTTGAAGTGAAGAGATTATACATGAGGATATTTCTAAAAAGAAAAATGTTCAAGAAAAAGGTTGAAAAGATAAAGGCAAAAAAAAAACAAGCTGGATTCTTTTTAAAAACTCCTTTTACTTTGAGGAAAGTGAAGGCGGTCCATTTTAGCTCCTCAGTGCCCTCCGGCGACTCGATGAGGCCCGTAAAACAAGCCTTCCAGATCTCCAGGACGAACAGGGGACCAGGGATCCGCTGAGGAGAACAGGCAATCCAATCAATAAACAAGGAAAATGATACCGGATCTAATGATTGGATCTCTCTGGGATTCTCATTTTCCCTAATCAACTAAAATGAAGTTGCTAGAATTAGAGGAAATAAACCCTACTTTTCCTCTCAGTATAAACCTCATTTATCACCTATGTTGATGTTTAAATTCAGCTGATGCACCAACGAACATCATTAGCTTTAGCTACAGATGCAATAATTAGTCAGTTTATTCTTGACCAGTGCTGCAGCTCTAGATTAGTTCATCAGTCAGTAAATGATGTGGGGGATTTGTTTTATATAAATCTGAAAAATAGAAGTTAAAAAGTAGTTTTAGAAGTTTACTACAAAATATTTTTCAACATTTTTTAAAGTTTTTCTGCCACTTGGAACAACAAAAGAAATTTAAGTCGAATCAAAATCCTGATGATCACACTGCAGGTTGAAAAAAATGCTTAAACACATCTTATTACTATTATTTTTTTTTTATCTCAGAGTTAATAAAGACAAGCCACTGTCTGGATTGCAAAAAAAAAAGAACAAACGGAGCAGCCTAATGCCCAGAGCACCGAGCGCCTGACCTCAAAATGCAGAAGGAGCAACGTTCCATTAGCCACTTCTTCAAGACAAACTCGAGAGCAGAAGATTTCAGGAGAGCTGCAGCCCCAAACAGCATCACGTTCATGTCTAGTTCCAACATTAGCAACAACAAAATGCAGTCAAAGCTCCAGAGTGGGCAAAATGGATGGAGATCAAGGTTTTCATTGAAGCCTTAAAGGTTTGAGACTTCTCCTCCATAAATATAAAATCCCTCTCTTTGGTTAAGCTGCTCTACTCCTCACTACTTTTCAGGCTTGAAGGTTTTAAATGAAGCCGGTCCTAACACCTGATCACCAGAGTGAAACTACATATTAATGCTTGGCTAGTAACAATCTTTTCTCTCTCCTTTTGTCTGCAGCGAGGGAATCCTAACCTAGAAAGAATAAAGTTATTCCAAGTTGATCAAAGGCTTCTTGGTGAGCTCATTCTGAGAATAAAACATTCAGTTATACTTTCAGCCGTTTGCCCTCTTTGTTTAGTTGGACTCTGGGTGTTTAGTTGAAGGGTTTATTCTTCGGCTGAAACAATTAATCGTATTAATTGTGATCAGTCAACTATTTAAATAAGTGTCAACTAATTTAGTAATTGATTAATCATTAACAGGAGTATAGAGACTCTAAAACATGTCTTTATCTGACAGAGCGACTCACTTAGAGCAGCAATAATAACAACATTGTAGAAAAACATGTAAACACTAGAGATAACAAAAAAGTTTTTGTATGTCAATCTGCTCTATTGTTTACGTTTCTAAAAATTGTTCTTAAAAGGAAAAGTCCGCTTTTTAATGAATGACAACTTAAGAGTAATTTTCATTTGAATGTGCTTTACTGGAGGCA